CCCCCCCCCAGCCTGTCCACACCTTGTCTCAGCTGGCTTGGATCACCAACAGGCAAGCACAGAGCCTAGTGTAGTAGGTCCTCAAATTCAAACCCAGGGTCTTTTCCACTTCCTTATACACTACGTCTCCTCATCCACTCAAGGACATGGGTTCGGGGCCAATAGGTGGTATTTAGTTAAAGCCGTGCGATCCCACATAGCCATCCTGAAATTCAAGCTCTGGACCTGGCAGCTTGAAAATCACACCGGGTACATGTGCATGTGTGCCCAAATTCCCAAGAGGAGAATGAATGGAGGACAAGGGATTGTGGAATGGCCATCCCCACTGGGAGGGGTGGGGGGTGGTTTCTCATTTCCCCCCTCTGTCTCTCTCTTGCAGACACATGTGTCCTATAGCAAAAACTAAACAACAAAGGACAGAGTTTCGGCCATTCTCTGGTCTTCTGTTTCATCAAGGTTTTCCTTTTTACTGCATCTTTCCCATCAGCAATGTAAACCTATAATTTTTTAAAAAAATAATTATTAATTATTATGATTATTACTTAATTTTCTATAGGACATGTGCAGTCACCAGAAAGAGACAGAGGTGGGGGGCAGGAATGAGAAAGCAAGACACCAGGTCCAGGACTTGAACAGTGGGCGGCATGTGGAAGTCCAGCGCCTTCACCACCACACCACCTGCCGGCCCCGTTATTTCTTTTATCATAAAAACGTTCTTTTAATTTACTTTCCTCTTCAGCTATAGTCCTATTTCTTTTCTTTTCTTTAAAAATTTCTTTTTTTTGTTAGTGGGTGCATGCACTTGCCAGAGAGAGAGAGAGAGAGAGAAAGTAAGAAGTCACCCCCCTGGGGGGATGCCCGTGCTGCAGGCCCCTCTCCTACATTCTCCTCGCGGGATTCTGGGCACGGATGCACAGGCATCTGGCATGATCCTCAGGCTTCCAGGTCTGGGACATGTACCATGGAGATGGCCATGTGGGATCCATTCCTTAACCATACCACCTCTAGTCCTATTTTCTTTAAAGAAGTTTTTGCTTTAGCGCATGAGCATTCACAGGGGAGAGAGAGACAAAGACAGTGAAAGGGAAAGTGAGAAACCACCCCCCAAGGGGATAGCCAAGTGGAAATTCCTTCCCCATTCTCCTCCCAGGATCTTGGGCATGCTGGCACACATGCCCAATGTGAGTTCTTTCTTTCTTTTTTAAAAGATTTATTTATTTGTATTTGCTATTATTATTATTATTATTTAAAATTTTGACCAGAGAGAGACACACACACAGAGAAAGGGAAAGCAAGGAAGCAAGCCACCAGGTCTGGGACTTGAACCATAGTTGTCTGTGAGGGAATCCAGAGCTTTTAACCACCACTCCACCTGCCAGCCCTCATGTGAGTTTTTTTTTAATTAATTAATTTTTTGAAGATTTACTGTATTTAAATTTATTTATTTACCCATTTTAATTTGACCAGAGAGGGACAGAGTGAAAGAGAGAGAGAGGGAAAGTGAAAAAGCAAGTCACCAGGTTTGGGACTCAACTGCATTTGGCCATGTGGGAGTCCAGCGCCCTTAACCACCACACCAATCTGCTGGGGGACTCAAACTGCAGTTGGCCATGTGAGAGTCCAGCTACCTAACAGCTATGCCATTTGCTGGCCCTTCTTTTTTCTTTTATTTTTAAGTAATTATTTTTTATTTTATCAATTATTATTATTATCATTCATTACAGGGCATATGCACTTATGAGAGAGAATGAGAGTGAGAGAGAGGGAAAGTAAGAAAGCAAGTCACCAGGTCCAGGACTCGAACCAGGGCCAGCCATGTGGGAGTCCAGTATCCTAACTACCATGCCACTTGCTGGCCCCCTGTAGTCCTATTTCTTTGCTCTCCTTTGCATCAAAACTCACTGCTAGAGTCATCTGTACTCACCGCCTCTAATTCCCTTCCCCGCACTCTCCCTTGAACCGACTGCGGTCAAACATTGGCCCCATCTCTCCACCGCATCTGTTCTTGTCAAGTCACCAGAGCCTCTGCGTTGTTGCTAACTGCAGTGTCTGACACGCATCCCTTCTCGGAACTTCTTTTGGCCTGGAGGACACAACCCTCTCCTGGCCTCCTCCCACCTCACCTGCTGCTCCTTCTCAGTCCCGTTTCCTCACCTCTCCCCTTAACATTAGATGCCCGAGTTGTCTTCTGTCATTTTACTTTCACTTAGTGATCTCACCTAGACTCGTGGTTTGAAACTCCATTGATATACAAATAACTCCCAATTTTATGTCTCTAATCCAGACCTTTCTTCCAAACCTAGACCTGAGGGGGCCCGCACAGTGATGCGATGGTAAGTGCGATGGTGAAAGCTGACCCACGTGGAAGGCTCCAGGTTCCTGTCCAGACCACCCTCAGTATGCCAAGCATGCCTGTGCCCGTGGTCCTTTGGGGCTGGGTGGGGAGGAAGGTGAATCTGTGTCAAGACACTGTTGGGGGAGCTGTCTTCCAATCTCTCTGTCTCTCTCACTCAGGGAAGAAATATATAAGGGAGCTTTTTAGTATTTTTCTTTTTGTTTTGCTGTAGGGTACATGCTCTCACCAGAGAGCGAGAGGGAGTCAGAGATCATCCCCCAGGGGAATGACCATGCAGCAATCCTTTCTCCTCCAGTCTCCTCTCAGGATTCTGGGCATGCACACACATGTACTTGACATGATTTTCAAGCCACCGGTCTGGAACTCTGCCATGCAGTTGGCCATGTGAGATCCAGAGCCCTAAACTCTATGCCACCAGGTGGCTCAATAAATAAGCTTTTACTATTGCTGTTGTTAAATAATGATTGTATATTAATTATTACTATTATTTTTCAAAATATGACCAGCGAGAGAGAGGGAAAGCCACCAAGTCCAGGACTCACACTGTGGTTGACTATGTGGGAGTCCAGCACCTTAACCACTGTGCCACCTGCCGGCCCCCAATAAATAAGCTTTTAAATCAACCCAAACTTGTGTATTATGTTACTCTGGACCACCCTAGGGTGTCTAATATGCACCTCAAACTTGGCATGTCCCAGCTGCAGTCCTGATCTGCCCCCAAATCTCTCCACCATGACAGACCCTTCCAGTTTCCCAGACTCAAACCTTGGAGTCAGCCTCACTGCCTTCCTTTCTCGCCCTCATCCCCACCCCATATTCCACCCATAGGGAAGTCCTGGCAGAGCTGCCTTCAAAATGCCTTCAGGATCTGACCTTCTTACCCTCCACTGCCACCGCCTGGTCTGAGCCAGAAATGCGGCAGGAGCAGCTTCTGTCTTTGCAACTCCCACCCCCCAACCCGCTGTCCCCAACCCCGCTAGGGAGTTCCTGTTAAAGTAAAAGTAAGAGCCCCCATTCCCCTGCTCAAAACTCTGCGGTAGTTTTCTTTTTTTTTTTTCCTTTAAGAATTATTTTATTTAACTTTATTTATTTTTTTAATTAATTAATTAATTATAATTTGACCAGAGAAGGACAGAGGGAGAGACAGAAAGAGACAGAAAGAGAGAGGAAAAGTGAGAAAGCGAGTCCTCAGGTTCAGGACTCGAATCATGTTGGCCATGTGGGAGTCCAGGGCCCTTACCCACAATGCCACCTGCTAGCCACCACTGCCCCCCCCCTTTTTTTTAATTTGATGAGAGAGGGACAGAGAGAGAGGGAAAGTGAAAAACCAAGCTGCCAGGTCCAGGATTTGAACAGTGGTTGGTCATGTGGGAGTCCAGTGCCCCTAACCACCACGCAACTTAGTTTTTACTTTCAGTCAGAGGAAACTCAATTCAAACTCTAAAGTGGCCTGAAAAGCCCTGCCTGATCTCTCTCCTTACAATATCTTCAGGTCTGCTACTTTTTCCTCCTTAACTGGTTTTAGCTCATCTGTCTAGACTCTTTTTTTTTTTTTTTTTGAGAGGTTTTCGCTATAGGGCGCGTGCGCTAGCTAGACAGACAGAGAGAGACAGAGACAGAAAGCGAGAAATCACCCCCCCAGAGGGGATGGTCACACCGCAATCCCTTCTCCTCCATTCTCCTCTCGGGATCTTGGACACGCACACACACGAGCCCAGCGTGAGTTTTAAGCCACCGGGTCCGGGACGCGAACCGCGGTCGCCTACATGGGAGTCCAGCGACATAGCCATTACGCTAACTGCTGGTTCCCTATCTAGACTCTTTGATTTAGGCCTTGGCACTGGCCGCTCCTGCCTCCGGAAACTCTCTTCTCCTAGGTATGTACATGGCAGGTACCTGAACTCTCACTTTGAAACTTTGCTCAGGTCTCATTTTCTCAATAATGGCTACTCTGGTCTTCCTATTTATGTCTGTTATAGGACACACATGCTCATCAGAGAGAGACAGAGAGGGGAAGTGAGAAATCACTCCCCAGGGGGGATGGCCACACCACAGTCCCTTCTCTTCCAGTCTCCTCTTGGGATTTTGGGCACGCATGCACATGTGCCCGGTGTGTTTCTCAGGCTGCTGGGAGCAGCACTTGGACTGGGTGGTTGGCCATGTGGGATCCAGCTGCCTTAATTTCTATGCCACCAGCTGGCCCTATTTTTTAAAAAGGTTATTTATATATATCTTCAGAGAGAGATATCCCTCAACAGGGTCTTCACGGTGTGATCCACCCCCTACTTCAGCTAGCATGGACTGCAGGTACACCAGGCCCTCCCGACATGCTCAGGGAGGTCCCAGGACCTTTCCTATGGGGATCCAATTGCCTTATAGCCACACCACTGCTTTGCTCTATTTTTCTTTTCTTTTCCCATTGTACTATCATTTTCTGCCATTACTAAATGTTTACTTTTTTTTTTTAAGAGAGATTTTTGCTATAGGGCATGTACACTCACTGGAGAGACAGAGAGACGGAAAGCAAGAAATCTTCCCCTGGGGGATGGCCATGCCACAATCCCTTCTCCTCCATTCTCCTTTCAGGATCTTGGGCACGCATGCACACATGCCCTGCATGAGTTTCAAGTTGCTGGGTCTGGGACTCGAACTGTAGTCAACCACATGGGAGTCCAGCAACACAGCTACCATGCCATCTGCTGGCCCCCAAGTTTACTTATTTTTAAAATAATGTATTATGTTGATTGTTTATAAACATAAATACCCACCCAGCTAAACTGTCAGCTCCCCAAGGGTAGCGCTCTTTGTTCACTGATCTACTCCTAGGGCCCAAAGTCTCGTCTCCTACGTGCTCAACAAATATTTATTGAATCAACGACACTGTCCAACATGGAGAGGTCTCGAAGGAGATGAGAGATGAGGAAGCACCTAGAGAGACCCCCAGGAGGCCCCGCGAGGCTGGGTGGCGCTTACCGATGGTGGCGATGATGCTGGTGCTGCGAGCGGCCACGGGCTCAGAGTCGATGTCCAGCAGGCACAGGTGTTCCAGGAAGGTGTCCGCCATAGCAGCCGGCAGCCGCTGGCGCCGGAAGA